AGAAATTGTCTAGAGTTATGGATTTTTTTCTATCTTGATTAGGGTTTTGTTTCATAAATTTTGTTTAAATTTGTGTAAATGTTGTATAAATTTTTCAAAATCATCAAACTGTACCCATGATGCATTTTACAGAAAGCAAATTGTACGTGGAAAAAAATGCTAGAAACAGAAAAAATAGGACTAATAAATACATCCAAAAGTTAATTATTTGAAAAAAAGAATATAATTTAAAAAATTAACTAACAAAATTGAGGAAAGAAGCAGGGGAAGGAACATATGCACAAAATTAGACATGACAAGGAGAAAATAACCATCCAAACTGAGCACTTTTTCAGAAAATGATAAAAGCTACTTCGTACAATTCTTTGCAAATAAATTTGGAAAAAATAGGTGAAGTGGGTAATCTAGATAAATACAACTTGTCAAAATCAACCCCAGCAGAGACAGAAAGTCTAAACATACAAAATACTACAGAGGAAATAGAGGAAGTAGGAAAAGAGCCTTCCCACAAAAATGCGCCGGGTCCAGATTATTTCTCAGGGAAATACTTCCTCTAAAAATTACTTTATGAAGTGAGTATAACATCAATCTCGACCTGAAAATAATTGCTTCAACAAAAAAACTGGACTCACATAAATATCAATAAAAATGTTAAAGAATTAGCAAACAGAATCCAACAGCACATTAAATTTTTCATCATGACCAAGTAGAGTGGATTCCATAGTCTAAAATCCATTAATATCATCCATCATATTCATAGGGTTAAGAATTATGTAAGTAGGTATCTAGAAAATTCAAAAGAATCAATAGAAAACTACCACAAACAAAAGAATGTAGTAAAGTAGGTTATATAATCAATATACAAAAATCAAGTCTTTATAGATACAAACAAAAATCAGTTTCTATTGGAAAAGAAAACCCCTTTGTGAAAGCCAAATAAAATAAAATACCTAGGCTAAATTTAACAAGAAAAGTCCAAAACCTATGCGAAGAAAAACTGTAAAACATTTCAAAAACACGCAAAAATAATCTTGCAGAAATGGAAAGATATACCATATTCTTGGACAGGAAGACTCAATGGCAAAGATTTCAGGTCTCCCTAAGTTAATTCATAAAATTTAATTTAATATAATCCAATAAAAATATGATTAAGTTTCTTTCTGGAGCTAGATAAGTTTATAACAAAATTCATTTGGAAGATTAGATCAGCAAGAATAGCCAAAAGAGAAAGAGCCTGGAAAAAAAAAAAAGTAGCCTGAAAAATGAGAAAGAAAGAGAGAAAAAAATGAGGACGGGATAGCCCTGGCAGATGCTAAGATATAACGGCGCCAGTTAGGAGAGTTTGGTGGTGTTACATGCATAGACTAACAGAAAAAAATAGAAAATCCAAAAATAGATCCAATTGCATTTGGAAATGTATATTACAAAGGCAGAATCTCAAATTAGTGGGAGAAATGATGGTCTTTTTAACGAAAGTCATGGGGCTAACTGAATAGCCACATGTAAAAAGATAGAATTGTATTCATTCCCCACATTGTATACCAAGATAAATTCCACGTGGATGAGAAAGTTAAATGTGTTAAATTAATCCATACAAGTACAGAGAAAACAAGTCTGACTTATCCTATAATCCAGGAGCAAGGGGGAGCTTTCCTACCTCTGGCTCAACATCGAGAAGCCATAAGGGAAAAGATAGATGAATTTCATTACATAAAAATAAGAAAAAAAAATTTTAACTTACATAGCAAAAAAGTAAGGAGACAACAAACTGGGGGAAATTTTTCAACTGTTATCCTAGATAAAGGGTTAGTCTTTCCAGAATACAAAGGACTTTTGAAATGAAAGACCAATAATCCTATCAAGAGAAAAAAAGGCCAGGGATATGCACAGACAATTCACAGAAAAGTAAATACAAATGTCTTTTATCTATATGGAAAGATCTGGATTGTGTACATAATAGGAAAAAGGCAAATTAAAAATACAACAATATACCATTTTTCACCTATCAGAGTGGCAGAAACGCAAAAGATTGACGAATACTCTTTTGGCCAGACTTTGGGAAAACAGGCACTCCCATCATTGCTGGAAGGAATGCAAAAAGATGCAAATGCTATGGAAGGGAATTTGGCAATATCCAGCAAAATAACATATGCACTCTGACTCTTTCACCCAGGAAGCCTACTTCTAGGAGTCTGTCCTGAAGAAACACTGATAGAAACACAGAACATGAACACATGTTTTTATAACAGCAACAACCCTAATGTCCATTGACAGGTGGCTAGGAGAATAAACTATGGCACATTCAAATAGTGAAGTGCTACACAACTGTGGAAAGGAATGCAGAATCTCTCTATGTATTACTAAGGCCTGAGCTCCAGAATATAATGCAAAGGGAAAAAAATGGTGGACTAAAGTATATATAATAAGCTACCGTTTATCTAAGAGAGTATATATATACATTTATGTGTGTGTGTATATATATGCACATATGTCTATAATTATGTATTCATGTATGGATTTGCTTATGTAAAAAATTATGGAAGAATAAGCCATAAAGTAAATAAAATTACTGGCTAAAGGGAAAGGAGAAAAAAAGGAAGTGAATTTGGGATGGAAGTTGGCCTTCTCTGAATAACACCTTGTTTTTTAGATTTGACTTTAGAACCATGAAAATGCTTTGGGTGCTTATAAACAATGTTAAATCAGAATGGAAAAGACAATTCCCAGAACCAAGGGCAAAATAAAATAAATGAATCTTACCTTGCATTAAGTTCATAGCTTACTGAGGCAGAAGTATATTATTTTAAATGGTTTGAAAATACAGTAATTCAACTGTATGTCTCTAGTAAGACATGCGTAAGAACTGCAGGGGCTGGCCAGGTGGTGTGGTTAGGTTTGCATGCTCTGCATTGGAGGTCTGGGGTTCACAGGTTCAGATCCTGGGGGGGACACAGCACCGCTCGTCAAGCCACACTGTGGTGGCATCCCACATGAAACAGAGGAAGATGGGCACAGATGTTAGCTCAGCAACAATCTTCCTCACGAAAAAAAAAAAAGAACTGCAAAAATAATAATAGCTATTTTCACTAATCGTATGTTTGGTATTGTTTTTCAGAAATATATACACAGTGGAGTAAATAAATAAGCAATTATGCTATTTTCAGTAAGAACCAAGATTTTTAGCATTAGAGGAAAAGATTCTAAATAAAATCAAAGCAGTTAAGCAAAGCCCTGTAATCCTAAACATGGATGAAAATATCAGCATAAACTCATAAGATATTTTCTCTTTAAGAAATATTTTCATTTCCAAGCTTGGACATCTTTTCTTTCCAGAAAGCAAGGAATCTACCAATGCCTGCTGGAGTCATGATCATGTCAGAACTCAGGAAGCAACTCAGAAAAGAGGCTCCCACCCGTGGGCCAGAGATGTGAAAATCTGAGCATCAAAGAGAAAAATAACAGCGATGGGTTGAAACACATGGAATATGTTTAAACTCATGAGTTGCTAATGATGCTATAAAACAGAAAATCTCATTGGTCATCTCTGGAGGATATAAGGGAGCCAACCCACTATCCTGAGTGCTGATAAGTCTAGGGAAGGAATCAAGCATTTAATCTGTTTTTTCCTGATTAAACTATATCATAAGTTAATCGAATAGTTGGTGAGGAAACAATTTTCTCTATAGAAACAGCCCACGTAATAAAGGAGGAAGGAATGCTAGAATTAGAATGCCACCATTTCGCAGACCCCCAATTGAAATTATGGATCTGGGCAATGATTATCAATGGCTGTTACATCCCAAAAAAGACAACCAGTCATCATGTTCCAGCTGATGGAAGCACAGGACAACACCCACAAGGCAGTCTTGCAAAGAAATAAATAAAGCTGGACTAGATCAAGTCACTAGATGTGGCTGCCATTTTATAGAAAATAAAGGGGTCAAAGAAGCAAGGTAGACAACAATACAGGGATGCAGTCCTGTCTAGAAAACAGGAAATGATCTGGTCTCTTCCACAGATGAATTGCAAGGAAATAGAAAGAGGGCTGGAGAAGCTATAAATTGAAGAGACTAAGAGAAATATCAACCAATTACAATGCGTGAATCTTGTTTAGATACCAATTCAACCAGGAAAAAAAGAAACAGTTGTGGAAATTTGAACCCCGGATATTTGACGATACTAAGAACTTGTTGTATTCTTTCGTTGTTATAGTGATGTTAAGGTTGTTCTTTTCAAAAGTTCTTAATCTTTTAGAAAGACATCACAAATAAACAAGGGGAAATGACATGATTTGGGGGATGTGTTTTAAATACTCTGTCAGGGGAACTATAGAGAAACGAGAGTGGCCGTGAGTTTATTTTGTGGCTGGGTAAGAGGCCCATGAGCGTTCGTTGTACTACTTTGTCTAATTCTGTGAATTTTTGAATTTGTTATAAGAAAATTTTTAATGCAGGAAGTTCATAGAGTGGGTAAGCATTATACTCCAGTGAAGGTAGGCCTTTGGAAAGGAGAGAACGGAGCAGGAAAATCCATTGACTGCAGAGAACTCACCCCAAATGTACCTTTTCTTTTTGTCACTGAAGGCAGCCTCACCTTTGTGAGGGCTGGATTAGCTGTGCAACAAATGCTCCGCTCGGAATGTGGCATGCCAACAGGACTCTCCATCTGGGGAGGCTGCCAAGCCTTGACACCAGCCAGCTAAAACAGTGTTTCTTAAAAGTTGGTCTAAGGAATTCTGCCAACCCACAGTCAGGTGGCGGGCACCGGCTGGCACGTCCACCAGCGTTCCTCAGACATTCAGGAGCTCAATCACCTCTGCCGCCTAGAAGGGCCCTCTGACCTGCTGCATCCATGGAGATCTCTCGTTCAGGTTTAACAATCACGTTTTCACCAAAAATCCCCTGCCTGGACTGCCTACATTGCCTCAATTTCTTCAAGCCTGTTTCTATCAGAATCATACACACAGGGTATCTAGTAGTGTCTTATACGAGTAGGCACCAGTGCTCGCTTCAGCAGCACATGCACTAAAATTGGAAAGATACAGAGAATGTTAGCACAGCTGCTGAGCGAGAACGGCACACAAATTCGTGAAGCATTCCATATATTAAAAAAATATAGATACCATATACCCACTACCTGCTGTGTCAGGCACTGCTCAGCCCTTTGCATCCAAACCTTGCAATGACCCTGAGAGGAGGTTTCATTATCCCATTTTACAGATGAGAAAATGGAGGCAGAAGCTTTAAATAGCTTAGCCAAAGCCACATGGCTTGTAGATGGCAGAGCTGGGATTTAAATACAGCTCTATCTGCTTACAAACATGTTTATTTAATCGCTATGCTGGATTGCCTTCTTCAGCAGCCAAGTGGCTATTCAATCCATGTTCGCTGGGAGATACGTGAACCTAACTGAGAAATTCAGGCATCCTGCCTCATGTCTCCCCTTGCATACCTCCTGTATGTCCCAGTGTCCCAGCATCCTCTCTGCTCCGTGTAGTGGAGGTGCTAACCGATACATTCCACTGGGCCTGGAAGAACGTAAACACATCTGGAAGGAGGCCGCCATGGAGCAAACCAACCTCCTCCAAGTACGGACAGGACGAGGTGTCTGTAAATAATCATAAGAGTGTGAAGACATTCTCTCCCCTGGGGCTCCCTCTGCAAAAAGTTGATGGTAATTGATGAGGCTACAGGGGCATGCCAACACTTCTGCTCTTAGAACCAGGTGTGGTTATTTACAGAAATGTCACTTTTCCCAGCCCTCCCTCCCCATCTCTGCCAGAGGCTTGGAGACAGCAAATATTAATTTACTGCTGCCCCGGGGCTCAAGGCAATGAGCCACCTGTCCCCCCGCTGCCTACAAACCAGGCTCAGGCTCCTGCTCTGGCTGAGAGTTGCTTCCTCTTTGGGAATGTGGAGAGAGAGAGAGCACAGATTTGCCCCCTTTTCAGGCGGAGGGAGGCCAAGACCTCCCTGGAACCATATCACAAACTACCACGTCAATCTGAGCTTCTCACATGGCCCAGCTCATAATAGGGGGACTAGATAGACGCTGGGCTAGAAGTCAGAATATGTGGATCCTGACCCCAGGTGGGCCATCTGTTAGCAATCAGTGTCTGAATTCCTGTTTCCACATCTGTAAAATGGGACTAGTCTTCTGTCACATGCCAGACACAAAAGGATTTTGAAAAGAATAAATTAAGTGATGGAGTCAAACTAACTGCATTGTATGAGAGATTGTCATTGTTATAGTCATATCATAGTGCAGTCCTGTAAGCCACCAGTGCGAATACCCATGACAGGACTTGGAAAACACTTTATAACTGTACTGCCAGCAGTCCCGCGGCCTTGCTAGTTAGTGGCAAGAGAGAAGTCGAAATGCAGCATATAAGTTTGATTTCTCAGGGCATTTGAATTGAGGGTGAAGATCGTTTTGTTATAACAAGGTTTACACCAACCAAAAATCAATTTCACAACTAAATAAAACGGTTTTGGGAACCAGAGGGCAGAGCTGCGTTTCAAGGTTGCTCAAGCTGGCTTGAGGCTCTACCTAGAATTACCGGATCTCGGCCAGTAAAGAATGGAAAATTGTCATGCTCCTTCCCTGCTGAGGCCATAAGATCACACCAAAGGCTCCCCACTGCCAAGATGTCCAAGCTGACTTGTGCCGAGAGGCCAGACGGAGTGACAGACTAATGAGCAATAGGACACCTCAGCCTGGTGTTCCAGCTTCTTCTGGAGCCTCCATGCTGGTGCCTCTGCCCACGGTACCCCAGGGCAGTAGCCCTCCTGAATGCTCCCCACCTCTGTGCAGCTCCTATGGATGACCTTTCTCAGCCCTATAAAGTGGTAAACTTGACCTGTGAACAACAGAACCAGGATTTGAATCCAGAACCATCTACTTCCAAAAGACTGTAACGTCCTCCTAGTCAATAACTAGTTCCCATCGCAGGGGAGTCCAGTTAGAGTCAACAGGGTTTCATGTGCAAGAGGAATCGTATCTTCTTCCCTTTCATCGGACATCACCTGCAGCCACCTGGGCCTTTCGCCCCTCCACAGTGGGGGCTTGTACTCGGAAAGGAAAGCCTTAGGGCTGCCCGGGTCTAAAAAGAACATCGGGCGGGACCAGCGGGGTCGTCCCCCTTAGTCAGGAGGGGAGCCTTTTTCCTCTTCTCGGAAGCCTCAAGTCCAAGAAAAAATCGATTGAAAACATGTACCAAAGAACAGCTTTGTTTTATTCCTTAGGAGGAGATGTTTTAGAAAAAGTTCTGCTTCCCTGACTTTGTATTAGGAAGAAGAGGATAAACAACGATTTTTATGAGCCATAATAATAGGTAGCATTCCTGAGCACTCTTTTATTTAAGTGCCACAATTTCTGCTGAGAGATTTACATGGATTGTCTCAAATGATTAAACAGCCTGCACAAGATTCTTTATCCCTATTTTACAGGGGAGGGACGGCAGCTCAGAGTAATTGACCCCAGATGACACAGTAGAGAGGCGGCTTGCACTCACTGCCCGGGCATTCTGAGCAAAGCCCCCGGAGAACCTGAAGCCTCACATTGGCCATATAGGCTCCAGGCTTTGTTCTACAAAACATATTCAATATCCTTTAAAAAATTTCTTTCCTTGGATAAACAAAATGTGGTATAGCCATACAATGGCATATTATTCAGCCATTAAAAAGAAGTATTGATCCATGCTACCACACAGATGAACCTTGAAGACATCATGCTAAGTGCAGTAGGCCAGACGCAAAAGGACAGATCTTGTGTAATTCCATTTACATGAAGTATCTAGAATAGGCAAATCCATAGAGACAGAAAGTAGAATTCAGGTTACCAGTGGCTAGGGGAAGCAGAGAATGGAGAGTTATTGCTTAATGGGTATACAGTTTCTTTTCAGGGTGACGAAAAAACTTTGGAAATAAATAGTGGTGATGGTTGCACAACATTGGGAATGTAATTAGTGCCACTGAATTGTATGTTTAAAAATAGTTAAAATTGCAAATTTTATGGTGGGTGTATTTATGTTTTTTATGTTATAAAAACTTTTTTTTAAATCTCTTTTCTGCTTAAATTAACCAAAATTGATTTCTGTGGCTTGCAACTAAGAGCCTGCCTGACCCACCATCTAAGACGGAACTCATGCTCTAGGTCACAACAGTAATGACCAGTCCAAACACCTTGAAAAGCATAAAAAATAAACAGATGAGTAAAAGCTAGAGAGTAAACAGCAATTTGCCTGGGTACAGACTGGACTGGAGGATTCTATTGCATGGGTTCTCAAAGAGTACCTGTGCAGGATGAGAGGTTGCGTTTTGGAAGCATCCAGGGGGAAAATCTTATTTTAACAGAATCCCTTTTAAATAGAAAAATATGTCAGAGATGGAAACTCTGACTGCAGGTCATCTGTTGTGCACTACGGCAAACTCAGTAACAATTCCACCCGTTGCACCAGGAAGCCCTGGTGTCACAGAGTCCACCAAAGACCGGGCAGTACCCAGGCCAGACTTCCTGGAAGCGGTTGCTCATCATGGAGCCCACAACTCCGTGGGGTAGGAGCCCAAAGCCCAGGATAGAAAATGGAGAATCTGAAGTCAACCAATAGTCGTTACCGCCGTAGCCCGGCTGCTGTATTCTCTGTCCTTGGTGCTGGGCTAAAGGAGGAAAACCATTTTAATTGCTACTCCAGCTGCACTCTCCCGTCCTAAGCCCTCCCTCCAAACTGTCTCCGTATCTCTAACACCTCTCCATCCCCAAGCCATTGCCCAAGTTGAAGCACCATCTCTTGCCCGGACCAGGGCGACAACTTCCTAACCGGTTTCATTCATTCAGCAGATATCTGTTGGGTACTAACTATGTACTAGGCTCTGTTCTAGATCCTGGGAAAAGTAGTGAACAAGAGACAAAACCACTGGCCCTCAGGGAGCTGACACTCCTGTGAACCCCAGCATTTAGCATCGCTCCTTTACAGTCCATCCTCCACGTCAGCCAACAGAGAAATCTTTCAAAAACACAGATCTGATCACAGCCCTCCCAGGCTGTAAATTCTCCCTGGCCCCTCATGCTCAAGGACGAAGTTGAAGCCCCTAAGCAGGACTCACAAGACCCTTCCAAACTTAGCCATGCTAAACCATGCAGCTTCATCTTCCCCTTCTCCCTGCCCCACCATCCCATTTATGGCGAAAAGAGCTTGGAACAAACGGCAGGAAGCATCACTTGGTGTACCTGGAACATGTGGGCAGGAGGCTCAGCAGACGTGTCCAGCCCCCTGTCCTCTTGGCATCCTGCAGGGAAGGAAATTTGGTCTGCAGAGGGCTCTACCCCAATTATTCTCCACTTTTGGGGAGCAAATGTGAAAGTGGCATTGCCCCAGGAAGGGGGGAAAGAATAAACATTTAGGACTCAGGCAGCAAGGGCTGCAGGCTGAAGAGCCAGGTATATAGAGGACTGCTGGGAGATGCCGGCTGCCTTGCATCTGGAGACCCTGGGAGCTCCCATTCCATGGGAAATTGAATTCAGGCACAGTCGATTCTGGCTGAGGAGAGGGTAAAACTTATCCAGGTCCCATGGGATTTGCAGCCTGTTCTGGGATCAGAGAATCATCCATCCTAGCTACCCCTATTGTGAGGCAACCCAGAGAGAGACGCTAGTGTCATTCTTCAGTTCCACCCACCTCCAGCCACGTTCCCATCAGAGCACAGGCCCCATCTGAGGCCTCAGGCATACCACACTCTTCACTCCTCAAGCATGCCAATCACTCTGCTGCCTCCAGGTCTTTATACATGTGTTCCCCGGTGCCTGTGGCACTTTCTCCCCTGTCTATCTGGAGAATTCTTTCCACAGATGTCAAAGAGAGCAGCTGACAAAAGGCAGTGGTTCTATGTCATCATTCAAAGCCTTAATTCTCTCCACTGAGAGCTCTGATTACCCCCATACATATATTATACATTAGGCATTTCATACATTAGGCAGAATTAAATTTGCTCCTCCAGGAGTCCTGCTTAACTTTGCTTATTGCAATCCATTTCTCTATATTCTATGTCACCACTGAATTATGAGCTCCCCGAATCTAGGGACCGTGCCTGCTGTCTCTATATTCTGCCT